CGCAGTCAAGCTAATGTGCCACCAGATAGTAGTGGTGTGTTTAGTACTATTTTTATCAGTTTAGTGTCCTGTATAACGCTTTCAGTCTTAATAACTAGAGGCTTAAGAATGTTTTCTGTTAGGCCAGATATTTGTTTAATTGAGTGTTCCCATACCTGTTATAATGGACTGTCCTGGGTTTCCTGGCTTGGGGAACTTGGGCAGCATGTAGAAGGTTGCCATTTGAGGATTGGAAGGCACCAGATTTCGTAATTCTTGCTGTAGGTGTTTTGTAAATGATTTGGTAAGTTTTATGAGTTTAGCTGTATATTCCTTAGAGAGGTCCTTGTCCAGTTTTTTGTAGTAGTTTACATCAGACAACTGTCTGTTCCCTTCTGTAATGTAGCCCTGGGTGTTTATGACAACTACTGATCCACCCTTGTCAGCCAGCTTGATGATGATGTTTTTATTATTCATCAATTTATACAAGGCACTTCTTTTCCATAGGTGAGAGGTTGTATGTAGAGATGAGCGAACCCGAACTGGAAAGTTCGAATTCGTATCGAACATTACGTTTTTTCGACCCCGGACCCGAACACGGACATTTCAGTGTATGTTCGGGTCGGAGTTCGGTGTTTAGCCATTTAATGGCATGTTTTCAAAGGCTGCAGGGCAGCCAATCAACAAGTGTTTGACTCGTGTGCCCTTAGAAGCCATCACAGCCATACCTACTATTGCATGGCTGTGATTGGTCAGTGCAGCATGTGACCCAGCCTCTATATATAAAAGTTGGAGTCACGTAGCGACGCACGTCACATGAGCTGTTATTAGTGTAGGGAGAAGATGCTGCAGCTGTGAGGGACATATTAGGAAAGAATTCTAGTGTTGAATCTGCAAACTACAGCGATTATTTTTGTGGGTGCAATACTTTTTGTACCCTGCCCTGAGCCCAGTGCCACAGAGAGTGCAGTGCCATTGCAACTGCATGTGTGCCAGGCTCATTACTTTAATCCTGTTCTGGTTGCTCAGTGGGCAACATCTAGGCATTTTTAAATCCATTGCCCTTCAAACATGCAACTGTAACCCCAATTCTAAAGAAGCCCAATCTTGACCCTAACTCCCCATCCAACTATCGTCCTATCTCGCTACTGCCTTTTGCACTGAGATCCTTGAAAAAATTGTATATGCGAGATAGACAGCCTTCTTCGAGTCCAACTCTCTGCTAGACCCGCTTCAGTCTGGTTTCCGCGCTAAGCACTCTGTGGAAACGGCACTGACCAAAGTATCCAATGATCTACTCGCTGCAAAATCTCATGGTCACTACTCTATCCTAATTCTCCTCAACCTGTCTGCGGCTTTTGACACTGTTGATCATCAACAGCTTCTTCTCATCCTCCGCAATATCGGTCTACAAGATATTGCTCTCTCCTGGTGCTCCTCCTACCTCTCCCAGCGCTCTTTCAGTGTTTCTTTCTCTGGCTCTGCTTCTTCTCCCCGACTCCTCTCTGTTGGTGTCCCCCAAGGTTCAGTCCTTGGTCCCCTTCAGTCCTTCTCCATCTATACTGCCTCCCTTGGTAAACTCATTAGCTCTTTATTTGGCTTCCAATATCATTTCTATGCAGATGACACACAGATCTACCTGTCCTTTCATGATCTCTCCCCGTCCCTCTTGACTATTGTCTGTGACTGCCTCTCTGCTGTTTCTAACTGGATGGTTGCCCACTTCCTTGACCAAAACTGAAATTCAAACTAAACTTGACCAAAACTGAAATTCTGGTCTTTCCTCCCTCAAGTGTTGTTATTCCTGTGTCTGTCTCCCTCCAAGTCAACGGTGCTACCATCAGCTCCACCACGCAGGCTCTCTGCCTAGGTGTTTTCTTTGACTCCGACCTCTCCTTCAAGCCTCATGTTCAATCTATCGCCAAATCCTGTCATTTCCATCTCAAAAACATTGTGCGCATCCGCCCCTACTTAACGCCAGGTGTTGGTCCATTCCATTGTCCTTTCTCGCCTTGACTACTGTAATCCGCTTCTCAGTGGTCTTACGTGCCCCCAACTTGCGCCATTACAGTCCATAATGAATGCGGCGGCGAGGCTCATCTTCCTGTCCGCCCGCACCTCCCATGCCTCACCCTTCTGTCAGTCCCTACATTGGCTTCCTAAAATATAGAGCTCAATTTAAACTTCTGTTCTTGCTTTCAAATCTCTACATAATGCTGCTCCCACCTATCTATCCTCCCTTATACACAAGTATGTCCCGTCTAGGCCCTTACGATCTGCTGAAGACTTACGTCTATCTTCTGTCCGTACTCCCACCTCTGATGCTTGCCTTCAAGATTTCTTCGAGGGCTGCACCGTTCCTGTGGAACTCGCTTCCCTCCTCCGTTAGATGCTCACCCAGTCTCCACTCCTTCAAAAAATCGTTAAAACCCACTTCTTCATAAAAGCGTATCAATTAAACTGTTAATAGCTCCTGACTGATTCCTCTTCTGCAACTGTCACTAGTCTAATACTATCCTTACCTTTTTGTGTCATTTTACCCCACTCCCTCTAGCATGTAAGCTCATTGAGCAGGGCCCTCAACCCCTCTGTTCCTGTGTGTCCAACTTGTCTGGTTACAACTACATGTCTGTTCGTCCACCCATTGTAAAGCGCTGCAGAATTTGATGTTTTAAAATATGTATGGACCAACCAGTGGCTGTAAAAGCAAAGTTTTACTGGTTATATTCATGACTACACACTCTAGTGAACAGGACCTTCATGTAGTTTTAAATCATGCAGCATCCTTTCATGTGCTTTTCAGATGTCATATTGTTAATTACCAATTTTTGTTTAGCCTGAATTTTTTTTTTAAAAAGTGAAAAATAAGTGTTTGTTACGGTTGCCTCCAGGCTGGCTGGAAGTTGGACCATAGAAAGGATGCTCCTAGCGCTGACCAAAGGACCATCAGTACTGTTGACACCATAACTACTGTGTAGACACCATGAGCACTGCAGACTCAATGAACCGCCGCTGCTGGGCTAGGATCTCACCGTCTGCTATCCACCCTGGACCTACGACCAGGCTCCAGTAGGTGAACCTCTTCCTTCTGTAGAGCGAAACAGGATCAGGAACAAGAGCTCTTACAAGAGCTCAGTAGCTAAGGGAGTATGAAGAGCACAGCAATCCCTGTAGTGATTATAGCTGTCCCCTACAAACATGAGTCAACGCTGCAAGTTAGAGGGTCAAGTCATTCTGTTTATTGACACCAAAAGAACCTTCTTTTATGCAGATTTCCCTTACATAGGACCACCCACAGAGTTTTACAAAACAACCAATCATACACGTATATTACAGAAACACTCCCAGCAATTACATACAAAATCCTCCCCCTCTGCCTTACACAATGGTTTAACATAATTAACACAGGCAGGAAAAATACAGTTTTTATCCATACACTGTAACTTTAAAACTACACATCCAATCTTCATAAAACATATTTAGAATCAACAACCTTCAAATATAAACATAGCCAAAAATCAGCCAAATCCATCCAGGGGTTAAAAAGTTAGCTGGAGGTCCCTTTATGAGGTCCCTTTTCCTGCCCAAAACAGTTCCATAGATTAGGACTGTGCGGTCGGTCTATTTTGTGCTGAAAAAACGACTAAGTCCCATTGCTGAATGGGACTTAGTTTTTATGGCTGCAAAATCATTGTGGGAGAAGGTAGGGCTCAGCAGTGTTCGTGGAAATGTGTAGCCGATTTTAGTTCCATGAATTTGGCTACACATACCGCTGACCTCGTGCGAATGATCAAAGATGGCCGTCGCCACGTGTTCGGCAGACGAACAAAGGCCACCCAGCATTCGCCAATTAAGCTACGGTTAACCGCAGCTTCTGGGAGGTAAATTGCTGACACACTCCCAATACAGGTGGTCCACCTGTGTGGTACTTGGTTCAGTAAGCCCCATTTACTGAACCAAGTGGGAAATAGCCAGGAACAAAGGGTTTTAACCAGGTCTGGGAACACAGGGGACACCGTCTTAAAGGGGCAGTGTCCCAAAAAGCCTGGGGACATCGTCTTAAAGGGGCAATGTCCCAATCTTCCCGATGCCCCAAAAAGGTGCTTAAAGGCCAGCACCAGTCCCATAAAGAGTCCATAAGCCCCAATATGCCCACCGACTGTCTTAAAGGGTCATACACACCCAATAAAAGTCCATAAGTTTTCACAATCTCCTAGGGGCCATAGTCATGCGGAAGGAGGCTGGCAAATAGGCTTCTCTACAACCCAGGGAAGCAGGGCAATTTGTCATTTAAAGGGCCAGTTACAAATAGCAGTTTGTAACAGTGTTATTGTGATTGCTTCATATACAGAAGCATATACATTTCTATATTGTGTAAAGATACAACTATAAAGTTAAAAACCAAACACCAAAACAACGTGCCAGACAAATCTACCTGTGCATGGCTAGTGTGATACAATAAGTCTACATCTCAAAAATGCAATAACCCACAGAAGATGGGTGAGAAGATTTTTTTGCAAATGGGTGCAAAAGCGGAGCGGCCGTCCCCTAGCGCTCGTTGGCATGTATTAACTCTAGAATTACCACAGTTATCCAAGTACCAGATGGAGCCATCAAAGGAACCATAACTGATTTAATGAGCCATTCACAGTTTCATTGTAGCGGCTGTGCGCACTTTCGGCGTTCACACCCTGCTGCTGCTCGCTTGTCTGCGCTTCAGCGTAACTTCAGCCTTCCCGCTCACCGCCTCATATGCAACGTGCCAACAAGGTGAAACTCCACCTTGCACATGCTGGAGAGACTGTGCAAACAGCAGCAGGTGATAGTGGAGTTTTAGCTGCAGCATGCACGGGTCAGTCGTTCTGCACCAGACTTGCCCTCCAATAGATCCTCGTTAAAGGATTTAAAGTGTACTCATTCCAATTACAGGGCCTCGAAAGAGTCTTGTATTGTTATTTTTCGTCACTACCTCCCCGCGTCGGGACTGGGTAATGTGCTAGCAATTTCTCAGGCTCCCTCTCCAGAATCGAACCCTGATTCTCCGTTACCCATGGTCACCATGGTAGGCGTGGAAAGTAACATCGAAAGTTGATAGGGCAGACATCTGAATGCGTCGTCGCCGTCATGGGGACGTGCGATCGGCCTGAGGTTATCGACTGCCAAGTTGCCCACATTCTAACTTGTGCTGATTACTCGGTGGCCACCCTGCTGGATCCCCATTACAAGGACAATGTGCCGTCCTTAATTCCCTCACTGGAGCGTGATCAGAAGTCCTAACTGACACCAGGGGCTCAGTGGAAGCACAAGGCGAAGGCAGAGCAGGAAGAAGAGGTCGTCAATGCAGCTGGGGCACCACCAGCACCTCACATGGCAGGGTTAGCATGGCCAAAATGTGGAAAAGCTTTGTCAGCACGCCACAACAACCAGCACCACCAGCTGATATGGTATGTTTTAGCAGGAGGCAGAATTTCAGCAATGTGGTGGAACAGTATGTGTGCACACGCCTACACGTACTGACTGATGGGTCTGCCCCATTCAACTTCTGGGTCTCCAAATTGGGCACATGGCCTGAGCTTGCCCTTAATGCCTTGGAGGTGCTGGCCTGCCCTGCAGCCAGTGTATTGTCTGAACGTGTGTTTAGCACAGCAGGGGGCATTATCACAGACAAACGCAGCCGCCTGTCCACAGCCAACGTGGACAAGCTCAGGTTTATTAAAATGAACCAGGCATGGATCCCACCAGACTTATCTGTACCTTGTGTAGAATAGACATTTATACCGGCCTCACCAAGCCATTGTTATACTCAAGTGCACTTATTCTTTGTTTTCTTTTTTTATATGTCCCAATATTTTGGGGGCTACTCCACTAAAAAAAAACAAAAAACAAATAAAAAACAGTGTTAGCTACCTCCTCCACCACCGCTTCCACCTACACCACCACGGTCACCGCCTCCTCAACCTCCTACTCCACATCCACCTCCTCCTCCTAGAGCAGGGTGCAAAAGCGGAGTAGCCGTCCCCTAGACAGTACACCTGCTATTGCCCACCACACCCAGGGACCGAGCACACCAAAGCCAGCTCCAAGGAGTTGCTGACGACTGACGACAAGACACTAGTGGTTTGCACGCTGTGCAATCAGAGCCTGAAGCGAGGCATAAAAATTCTAAACCTGAGCACAACCTGCATGACCAGGCATCTACATGCAAAGCACGAGCTGCAGTGGAGTAAGCACCTCAAAAACCAAGAAAGGTCTCAGGCTCCTCTTTCTTCCTCTTCTGCTGCTGTCTTGGCCTCTTCCTCCACCTCTGGAGTGACAGTGGCACCTGCCACCCCGCAAACAGAGCATGTAGCAGCAACGCCACCACGTCCGCCACCGTCCCCAAGCATACTGTCCCATGGAAGCGTTCAGCTGTCCATCTCCCAAATACTGGAGAGAAAGAGGAACTACCCCCCTACCCACCCGCAATTCCTGGCCCTGAATGCCCTCATTTCAAAATTCCTGGCCACTGTCACCGCCTCCTCAACCTCCGACTCCACATCCACCTCCTCCTAGTTCAAGATTATTATTTAAAATTTTTATGTATTTTATGTTATTTTAAGTTATTTCCCTATCCACAATTGTTTGCAGGGTACTTGTCCTACTCTTACCCCTATCCTTTTGCAGCCCTCTAGCCCTTTCCAGGACTTTTTTAGAAGCATTTTAGTACCCAAAAGTTTGGGTTCCCATTGACTTCAATGGGGTTTGGGTTCAGGGTCAAGTTCGAGTCCCAACTCAAACTTTTTGCCGATATTCGGCTGAACCCAGCAAACCGAACAACCAGGTGTCCGCTCATCTCTACTTGTATGTGATGTTTGTGATCATTTTTGTGGTAATAAAGCATGCCACTCTCAGGCGAAAACTTTCAATATAGCTGTCCAATTTGATGTTACGTCCTGCTGTTGGTGGAAAATCTTTGTTCTTTTTCCTACCATTATTATCTTGGTTGAGAGTGGTGTTTTTTTTGTCATATAAGAACCCTTAAGTCTCATTATTTTAAAAAATTCTTCCAAGTCTGAATATAACTGGATGTGATCCAGTTTTGTGCTTGGACAAAATGTTAGCCCCTTGGATTAGACTGATTTCTCTGTTATTGACAGGTGATGACTGGAGAGGTTAACAATACCTGTATTGTCAATGCAGTTTTAGTGATAGTTAGTGATAGTTAGCAGGCTCAGTTTGGTTTGGGCTCTGGTATATATATATATATATATATACACAAGCCGTTTAGCTACTAATTTAATCAGTTTAGTCCAAATATCTTTTCAACTAATCATTGAATGCCAAAAAATTTAAATTATTACACAAACATGGTAAAATAACCAGCAATAAAAACCTGGCCATCGTGCTTAGTGAAAAGTCTTCTTAAATGCAAATGTAAACAAACAATGAAGCCAAGTCTCAAACCATTCACACCATGTGATCAATGGTGGATTGAATCCCACATGGTCAGACAAAAGTAAAATATTTTTTTTTTCTATATAAAAATGACCAAAGATTAGTAAAACGTGAAAAGTAACACAATAATTCATCACTATATTTTACAGCAAGAGATACCTTAATAACAAATATTTAATCCCATCTTCATTGCCAAAATGTTATGGCCGTGACTCAAAGATGAATATTAATCTTTTGATTGACATATAATAATTAAGCAACAAGTAACAACACTAATATTTTTTATAGTTCTTGGTATTATGGTCGAAAATATAGATAGAAAATACACAAACCACTGTAATAAATGTATATTTAATATAATTATAATAACAAGTAAACAGATGCTAGCAGAATATCAATTTACTACAAGAATTATACAATACAAAACTACAACATATTACTTACAAAAGGCTTTAACAGTTGCTAAATGTTACAATGGAATCACATTGTACAATAAAAACACTTGAACACACTTACACAGGATCCAGCCTGTAGATCTGGGGCTAAACAGTCAGCTGCTACATTCTTAGGCAGTCAAGAGACTGAATCCCTAGCGATGCACCGAACGGTTCGCTGGCGAATAGTTCCTGGCGAACATAGCATGTTCGCGTTCGCCACAGCGGGCGAACATATGCGCGGTTCGATCCGCCCCCTATTCGTCATCATTGAGTAAACTTTGACCCTGTACCTCACAGTCAGCAGACACATTCCAGCCAATTAGCAGCAAACCCTCCCTAGTAGACCCTCCCACCTACTGGAAGGCATCCATTTTACATTCATTCTCAAGCTGCATGCTTAGTGAGAGGAGGGACAGTGTAGCTGCTGTTGATTAGATAGGGAAATGCATAGCTAGGTTAGGGTATACAGTGTCCACTACAGTCCTGAAGGACTCATCTGATCTCAGCTGTAAGGACAGCACACCAAAAAGCCCTTTTTAGGGCTAGAACATCAGTCTGCTTTTTTTTTTTTTCTGTGTAATGTAATTGCAGTTGCCTGCCTGCCAGCTTCTGTGTCAGGCTCACAGTGGATACTGTGCCCAGTGCCACCACTCACTCACTGGTGTCACAATAGCGTGCATTTAAAAACCCAAAAACTTTTTTCACTGTTATAGATTGAATAGCAGTTGGTTGTCTCCAAGCGTCTGTGTGTCAGGCTCGCAGCGTATACTGTGCCCACTTGCCCAGTGCCACCACTCACTCACTGGTGTCACAATAGCGTGCATTTAAAAACCCAAAAACTTTTTTCACTGTTATAGATTGAATAGCAGTTAGTTGTCTCAAAGCGGGTGTGTCAGGCTCACAGTGGATACTGTGCCCAGTGCTACCACTCACTCACTGGTGTCACAATAGCTTGCATTTAAAACCCAAAAACTTTTTTCACTGTTATAGATTGAATAGCAGTTAGTTGTCTGCCACTGCTGCCAGCTTCTGTGTCAGGCTCACAGTGGATACGGTGCCCATTTGCCCAGTCAGTGCCACCACTCATATCTGGTGTCACAATAGCTTGCATTTTAAAACAAAAAACTTTTTTCACTGTTATAGATTGAATAGCAGTCAGTGTCCTTAAAGCGGGTGTGTAAGGCTCACAGTGGATACTGTGCCCAGTGCCACCACTCACTCACTGGTGTCACAATGGCTTGCATTTAAAAACAAAAAACTTTTTTCACTGTTATAGATTGAATAGCAGTTAGTTGTCTTTAAGCGGGTGTGTCAGGCCTACAACGTGTACTCTGCCAGTTCACAGTGCCACTCATATCTGGTGTCACAATAGCTTGCATTTAAAAACAAAAAACTTTTTTCACTGTTATAGATTGAATAGCAGCTAGTTGTCTCAAAGCAGGTGTGTCAGGCTCACAGTGGATACTGTGCCCAGTGCCACCACTCACTCACTGGTGTCACAATAGCGTGCATTTAAAAACCCAAAAACTTTTTTCTTTGTTATAGATTGAATAGCAGTTAGTTGTCTTAAAGCGGTGTGTCAGCCCTACAGCATGTACTCTGCCAACCTCTGCCAGTTCACAGTGCCACTCATATCTGGTGTCACAATAGCTTGCATTTAAAAACAAAAAACTTTTTTCACTGTTATAGATTGAATAGCAGTTAGTTGTCTCAAAGCGGGTGTGTCAGCCCTACAGCGTGTACTCTGCCAGTTCACAGTGCCACTCATATCTGGTGTCACAATAGCTTGCATTTAAAAACAAAAAACTTTTTTCACTGTTATAGATTGAATAGCAATTAGTTGTCTCAAAGTGGGTGTGTCAGCCCTACAGCGTGTACTCTGCCAACCTCTGCCAGTTCACAGTGCCACTCATATCTGGTGTCACAGTAGCTTGCACGCATAGTACCACTAATCGAAAAAAAAATGACAGGCAGCAGGCCACCCCTACACTGCGCATTGGGTAAACCTGCTGACGGCTGCCAAGCATGGAATGCGTGGCTCTGCAGAGGAGTTGGTGACACCGCCACAACTTGCAGGCAGGCCTGCTGCCACCTCCTCTACTCCTCCTACTCCATCCTCTTCCATAACCTCCTCGGCTGAGTCCTCTTCTGCTGCTGCGTCTTGCTCCACATCAACGGATAGGGGACGTAACAGGGATTAAACTGATAAGAATAGTACTACTTAACACACCACTCCTATCTGGTGGCATATTAGATTGCACGCGCAGTGCCCCAAATTTGAAGTAGGAGGACCGACCAAGCATCTTTTTCCATCTCCCGGTTCCTAAAATCGATGCCATATACACGTCCCCTGATAGGGGATGTAACAGGGATTAAACTGATAGGAATAATACTACTTAACACACTTAAT